GGGATTACACGTATGAGCCACCGCGCCCGGCCTCATAGTTTTTATTACTGTGTAAATTGGGGATTATCTACTTTTTATTTTCTAACTTAAAAAAACCTGACAGTTCTGAGTGTTTGCCTGTGTCATGAACTACGCTTTTAAAGCATGATTTTTTTTCATGGTGCATCGTCTGAACAGAACATATTTAATCCTGTCATTGGACAGTTAGGCGCTTCCTCCCATGTTAAAAATGCCGTGATGAGCATCTTCAGTAAATCGTTGCATGAATGTCGCTGTACTAAATCTCTGCACTTATCTTTTCTTGAAGATAAATAGCCCAACGTGGGGTTATGGAGTTAAAAGGCTGGGGACGTTTTGAAAGGCTTTTGATTAAAAATTGCTGAATTGCTCTCCAGAAAGGATGCTCCAATTTACATTTTCAGCCAAAGTGAATGAGAGAGTGCCTGTTTCTCTGCATTCTTGCCAGCACTGGGTATTACTGTTTTTCCTCATTCTTGCCAATTTTATGGGGAGGAAAAGAGGTGGCTCACTGTCTTAATGTTTATTTCTTTGATTACTGTGAAACAGAATCCTAGAATCTTTCAGCTGGAGGATACTCTTGGGGCCAAGTAGTTCAATGCCCTCATTTTACAAGTAGGCAAATTAAGTGCCAGAAAGGTGAAGGGTTTTCCTCAAGGTCACACAGCAAATTCGTGGCAAGAACCGATTCCTTCCTGTCAGGGCAGCACCCACTGTGCCGAGGTGGGTTGTCTGCTGGGATTCAGATAAGGATGTCTTGCTTTCTGTCTGTCTGTCTGTCTATCTATCTATCTATCGATCGATCGATCGATCGATCGATCGAGATGGCAGCTCACTGCATCACCCAGGCTAGAATGCAGTGGCGGGATCTCAGCTCACTGCAACCTCCACGTCCCAGGTTCAAGCTGTTCTCCTGCCTCAGCCTCCCAGGTAGCTGGGATTACAAGTGTGCAGCACCACACCTGGCTAATTTTTTTTTTTTTTTTTTGAGACCAAGTCTTGCTCTGTCTCCTAGGCTGGAGTGCAGTGGCATAATCTCGGCTCACTGCAACCTCCGCCTCCCAGGTTCAAGCAGTTCTCCTGCCTCAGCCTCCCGAGTAGCTAGGACTATAGGCATGCACCACCATACTCAGGTGATTTTTGTATTTTTTGGTAGAAGCAGGGTTTCACCATATTGGTCAGGTTGGTCTTGAACTCCTGACCTTGTGATCTGCCCACCTTGGCCTCCCAAAGTGCTGGGATTAGAGGTGTGAGCCACCGTACCTTGCCTAATTTTGTATTTTCAGCAGAGATGAGGTTTCGCCAGGTTGGCCTGGTTGGTCTCAAACTCCTGACCTCAAGTGATCTGCCCACCTTGACCTTCCAAAATGTTGGGATTACAGACGTGAGCCCCCGCGCCCGGCCTAGGGATGTCTCACCTTCTTCATTGAAGTCTTCTGCTGGGGTTCATCTTGCCCCAAATATCTCTAGCACCCTGGTAAGGAAAAAGCCGATGTAAGTTAAAAAGCACATCATCATTACGGTCATAACAAGATGAATCAGTTTTCATATTCTGTGTGTGAACTATTTACCAGGGCAGGGAGCGTCACAGCTTACTTTGCAGCATTTCCAGGTAACTTGAGATTGGGGGCATAGTTTGACCGAGGGCAAGACAGCAGGTGCTGAAGCCTTGAAGTTCAGTTCTGCTGTTTTCTGGCTGGGCGATCCTGGCCAGCTCCTTACGTCTCTGAGCTCCCAGGTCCCTTGTGCATGAGACAGGGATGGACGCACGGGGATCTGCACATAGTAAGTGCTCAGTAAATGCTCTCCCAGGAAGGAGGCGGCTGGACCGGCCGTGTCAGGGACAGCTGTTCTTGGCCACTCCCTGGGCAGTCACAGAGTGAGGTGTCACAGGCTCTCGGCTGAATTGGGAGTGAGTGGCAAATGTAGAGAGCCTCTGTGGTGGCCTGGCTGGGTTGGTGGCCGGATTGTTCTGTATCCAGCTCCTGGCTTGGTGTGTTGGAGAGGGAGAGGTGGCTGTGGCAGGCGGGTTTTAGGCTCGGGCTGCCCAGGGGCTCAGGGCGGACAGCAGCCTCCCTGGACTTCAGTCCCAGAACCATCATGGCCTGGACAGTGGCTTTGGAGTCACTAGTTCCTTCTGGGACTCAGTTTCCCTTTCTGTACAATGTTCAAATTGCCAGACAGTGAGACTGGGTGGAAAGGTATGCCAGGGCCCCAGGGACGGAGCGTGCTTGGGCTCTGGTGTTCACGACCCGGGCCCTTGGATCTTCTCAGCCTCAGGCGTGGTTTGTAGCCTCTTGACGCCTCAGTTTTTGTATCTGTGAGTTGGGGATAAGGGACTTCTACAATGCAGAGCTGTGTGTGGGGTTTGGAGTAACAGACGTTGAACTTGGTGCCTCATGTCGGTACTCCCTCTGCTCACCAGTGGTGGTGGAGGATCTGCCGGCCACAGTGCGGGACGGTCAGGGGCTGTCGCTGTGGTGAGAGTCTGGTATTAGGCACGTTCCGTGTAGCCCAGGCCTGTCCGTGGTGTTCACGTGTGTTCGTCACCAAGGTCCACCCAGGAGCCCTGTGGGGTCCTTGTTTTACAGATGAGGAAATGGAGGCTCAGAGTGGACAAGAGCTGGCTGATGGTCCCACGGCTGGAGAGTGGTGCCGCTGGGGTCTGACCCCTGTCCCCTCTCAGCCTGGAGCCCATACACTGAAACGCTGGGACACGGTGAGGGGCCCTTCTTAGTGGAGGTGCCAGGGAGCTGCCACGGAGGCGTGCAGGTGAGCGTGAGCAGGCCTGGGTGCCTGGCGTGGGTGTTGCAGGCAGGGTGGGTGCTTCAGGGCACGTGGGCAAGTCCCGATTCACATGGGCACGCTCCGAGCGTGAGTGACGGGGTCACGGCGTGTGTCAGGAGTGGGTGAGCCGGCACGCCTGTGCGCACGCGTGTGGCGGTGGGTGAGGGCAGTGCTGTGCAGGTTGTAAATGTCGGTGTGCCTGGGGGTGGGGGATGCTGGGGAGAGAGGCACAGACAGGCTGGGAACCGCGCCAAAGGCTGGGAGCTCAGCTGCCACTCTGGGACTGGGTGACAAACTGCCACTCCCCGAGACAGTGGGGGAGTATCATGGTCTCGGGGAGGTGACAGCAATGATGACCACTGTTACCCAGTGGACACTCAGGGCCAGGAATGCTGAGTGCTGCCTTCTCCCCAAAGCCCTGGGAGTAGGGACTCTCATACCCATTTTACAGATGAAGAAAGGGAGGCCCAGGCAAGTTGAGCGGCTCAGGCTCAGCTCTTTGTGTTGCTAGAGCCACGCCCTTCCCACTAGGCACCCACCTCCCACCATCTCTGTGAGCCTCAAAACCTTAGAGCTGCCTGCCAAGGGTAGGGAGCTCCCCATCCCAGGGAGCATCCAAGCCACTGCTGGAGCCTCAGACACTGGCCAGGTGTCCCGGATTCCTGCGCTGGGTGTGAGGTTGGTGGTGGGTAGGATCCTTCTTGCTGGTTCCAGAGGTTCTGCCTTCTGCTGGGGATATGGGGCAGCCTCCACCAGGAAGGAGGCAGAGCTGAGGCCTCGTGGAAAGGCAGCAGGAGGAGAAGCGCTGATGAGAGTGTGGGCCGCAGCTGTGCCCTGGCCTCAGCGGCATCCTCAGCCTCCACCCATCCTAGTGGAGGCTCAGGCGCTGGGCTGATCTCAGTGGTGATCCTCCCGCCCTGGGAACTCAGGAGCAACGTATCCCATCTTTTTTTTTTGAGTCGGATCTGGCTCTGTCTCTAGGCTGAAGTGCAGTGGCGCTGTCTCGGCTCACTGTAACCTCTGCCTTCCGGGTTCACACGATTCTCCTGCCTCAGCCTCCCAAGTAGCTGAGACTACAGGTGCACGTCAGCACTGCACCCAGCTAATTTTTGTATTTTAGTAGAGACAGGGTTTCACCATGTTGGCCAGGATGGTCTCGAACTCCTGACCTCGTGATCCACCCACCTTGGCCTCCCGAAGTGCTGGGATTACAGGCATGAGAGACCGTGCCCGGCACAGTGTACCCCATTTTATGTGCTGCACCACCCCTTCTCCTGGGAAGCCCTGTCCTGGACAAAGTGGTGAGAACTGAGTGCCCCTGGCCATCCTGCCCTGCCCATCCTGCCCTGCCCTGTGCCTGGCTCAGCCTGGGTGCCTTCGGAGGTATCTGTCTGATGGAGAAAGAGACCAAGTCTTCATAGGTGCAGTGTGGGCTTGGGGGCATGGTAGCCGAGGGGACCCCCGTGACTTTAAGCACAAGATGTGGGGCCACATCTTGTGGTCTTTGGTGTCTGTGGGGTGCGTGGCCCGGGGCATCTTTGCCCCTGCAAAAGGCTGGAATCCTTCTGAAGAGTTCTTCCATGCAGTGCTGTGGTCTGCTCTCCCTGGTGACCAGGACAGGACCTGCCGGTGCTCCTGACCTGCAATCTTTCGGGGAAGGGGGACAGCCAGGGAGTTCAGAGTTGGGTCCTGGCTCCAGCCTGGCCTGCTATGGCCTCTGACTGCCGCTCTTAGGGCCGCTGTCTCCCCATCCATTCCACTCTTTATGAGATGTGGTGTCACCATTTCTCAGCTCCGTGTGCCCTGACCGTGCTGCGGGTGGAGGTGCTCCTTGCCCAGGAGGGGGTGCAGGGTAGCTGCACTTCTGAGCCACCGAGGGAGGCCCAGGAAGCTGGTGAGGCATCCAGGCCACGGTGCTCTGAATCCCCTGGCAGGGGAGCAGGGGGAGGGCGGGAGGAATGTGGCTTTGAGGAATGTTTAACCCAAGGCAGAAATAGCGCTCTGCCTTTTTATTTCAGGCTCGAGTTTTCAGCAGGGAAGTGGGTTCAGTGTGCTTTCCTCTCCCCAGCTGTGGGGCCACAGCCACCCCGGCTCTCCCACAGCCCTGGCCTTTGGGGATAGAAAATGGCCTTTCTTTCTTTTGCCCCCCATTCCCTCCCTCCCTCCCTCCCTCCCTCCCTCTCTTCCTTCTTTCCTTTCTTTCTTTCTTCTGCTATGGGGAACAGAAAAAGCCCTGGACTTGGAACTAAACAGAGCTGCGTTAATCCTTGGATCTCCACTTCTAGCCCTGTGACCACTTCCTTCCCTGGATCTGTGCAGAATTGGGAAAGGGATGCTGGGCTGAGATGGCTTTCCTGGTGGCCTGGTGTCTGGGGCTCCTCTCAGGACCTGCAGGCCTGGATTCAAATCCCAGCTTCTCTACTCGTTAGCTCTGGGACCTTGGCCTGGCCTTTCCCACCGAGCTCTCAGATTCCATCTGTGAAATGGGCAGATGCTTCTCAGGACTGTGAGTGGGATTCATGGGAAAACATTGGTGACGGGGCCTGGCACGGCACATCCCAGGCTTTTAATTCCTCCGCTGCGTCCTGGTCCCGGCGTCTTCACCTGTGAAACAGGAAGACAATGCCTCTTGTAGGCGTTTCGCCAGGTTGGATGAGGGAGCCATGCAGAGTGCTGGGGCGGCCCAGAGGCACCTCTTCATCAGACCCAGCCCTCTGCCTCCTCCCACTGGCCACGGGTGGGACCCATCTTCATCCACACTTGCACCAGAGCCCAACGGCTACTTCCAGGGGAGGTGTCTCTGGGGTTGGCCTCCTCCTCAGTCCTGGTGGTGACGGCATGCTTCCCTGCCCCCTGCTTCAGCTGGGAGCCATGAGGACTGACTGCATCTCATTGCGAGGCTCCCAGAACAGAGCCTGCGCGTATTGTTGGAATGAATGAGAAAACAAGTACATAAATGAGCAAGCCAATGAATGAACGAAGTTCCTTCTTATCCATCTTGGGCTTTGCTTTCTGTTTCTGTCCAGCCCCCTCCTATCTCCTGGGCTGGGGGAGGGGGGTTTCCTCCGTGGCGAGGGGATCCTGAGAGGTGGGGATGTAGGGAGGCTGGGCCCCAGCTGGCCAGACCTCGTGAGGACCTCAGACCCCTCTCACCTTCTGGGGCTGGGGAGCTGAGGAGGGGTCCAAGCCGCCAGCCAGCAAGCCCCTCCTCTGGGCCCTGTTCCTGCCTCTTTGTAGGAACCAGAAGATTCCTGTTCAAAGGCAGGAGCTGGGGCTATTTTTGGCACTGTGGGGGAAACAGCCAATGCTTTCCTTCTGTTCAAAAATATATGGTGTGTGTGCTGGGCAGAGGAGGAGCTTGGGCATTCAAAGCCTGTGCTGGCCGGGTTCCTGCTCCTTGGCCTGTGGCCCCTCCGCCCCCTGCGTGCCCAGCAGCCCACTCGGCCTTGCCGGGCCATTAGTGTCTTCAGGCTTCCTGTGATGCGGCCCTTGCTGCGCCCGAGCGGAACATGATGTCAATTAAAATGAAGAGCAGCTGTCAAAATGATTCCCCAGCTCAGGCTCCGAGGGGCTGGGGACGGCCTTGAGAGGGATCTAGGTGCCTCTCAGGGAAGGAGGCCCAGCCAGCAGGGAGCAGAGGGGAGGCCCTGGGACGTGTGGGGGTGTGTGTCTGGCCAAAGGGGTTCCTGGGCCACCTTGCCAGCCCTTACTCCTTGATTCAGACTGTTTATGGAACAATTGCCCTGTGCCAGGCCCTTCGGATGCTGGGGACACAGGGCAGGCTGGCTGGCCGGATTTCTGGCCCTGCTGGTATTCACAGTTTGGCGGGGAGGCAGATGTCGGGCCAGGATAAGCGTCAAGACAGGGCTTTGCACAATGCACTGGGAATCTCCCTGGTCTGGGGTGCATCTGGGAGGGCTTCCTGGAAGAGGTAATATTGCAGTTGAGACCCGGGGCTGGGGTTACCAGATGTACTAAAAAATGATTTCCTGTTTATCTGATATTTGAACTTAACAGGGTATCTGCATTTTTGTTTGTTGAATTTGACAGTGCTACTTGAGGGAGAAAGAAGTTTGTGGGGAGGGTTTGCGTTGGGCACGGTGAGAGTACTTGTTCCTGGTCAGTCCTCACCTTCCAGGGCCCTCCAACCCCCAGCCCCAGGAAGGGGTGAGAGACACACAGCTCAGGCACTAGCCAGATGGGTCACAGAAGCCACACAGCCACGCCTGTGTCACAGCAAGTAGAGCAGGGAACCATCTGAATGGAAGCGCCTTCCAAGGAGGTGTTAAGGTTTGGCAACTCCGGGGACCTGAAATTGCTCAGTGACTGCACACAGAGGGTCTGCGGCCGCGAGGGCACTGGTGGCGGGAGGGCTCGTGCTGTGCCCCCTCCACCCGGCTCCAGGTGTGCAGGGCACTGACGAGCAATTGAGCAGCTCAGAGATGAGCTCATGTGGCCAGAAGCAGATCCACGGAAGTCCCTCGGCCTCTCTGAGCTGTGGCTTCCTTATGAGTGGGGTGCTGGTGGCCCCTGCTTCGGGAGGTCCCTGGAGAGGTGGCTTGGGGGGGCAGTGGGTTGGCCCCTCAGAGTTGTTGGCTGACCCAGCAGGGCAGAGACCCCGCTAGGAGGGGCGTCTTGGAAAGCAGGAGAGTGAATGTGAGGCCGCAGGGCACACCCGGGAGACGGGCCTTGCCCAGGGAGGCACCCGCAGGCATCCCAGTCAAGGTCACGGTCCGGCCTCCAGTGAGCTTCGGCCAGGCTGAGGGGTCTGCGCCTGTGCCTTTCTGTGCCCCATCGCCGCCATCCCTGGGTCCTCCAGCTCTCTAAACACCATGACAAGGACCCTGATGAGTCACTCCGTGCCTCCTCCAGGAGGGCAGGTCAGGGCTGAGCCTCCACCCTCTGCTCTTAAAGGGCCAGAGCCAGAGCCACTGCCTGCTGGTGGCCGGGGCTGCCTGGGTGCCAGCAGCAGCCCTCGCCAACCCTCTGCCAGTTGCCCTAGAAGGCATGTCCCGGAACCTCCCGTGGTCCCTGCAGGAGCTGTTCTGCCCCTGTGTGGCTCAGGGGCCAGACCTCCATGCTTTAGGAGCAGATCCGCAGCATTCTGGGAGGGGACGTGCTGGCGGCAGCCGACACTGGTTCCACCCCGGGTGCCGCCCTTGCTCAGTCTCTGCGTCCCTGCCACTGCTCTCTCTGCCTCTCCCTGTGTGGGGTGCCTTGCACCTTCACTGGGGTCTCTCTTCACCTCTCATCTCTGCTCCATCCTGGGAGCCTCTCAGCGCTTCCATTCAAAGCGTTCCCTCCTCTGCTGGCCGTGACATTAGGTGCGACCGTGTGCCTTCTGTGACCAATTTGGCTTCTGCCTGAGCTGTGATGGAGACCAGCTGTGTGTCTCCCACCCTTTCCTGGGGCTGGTGTTGGCGGCCCTGGAGGGTGAGGACTGAAGCAGGAATGTGGGGACTAGGGTGGGGGAGGCAGATGCCCCATGATCCAAAGTGGGGGGATGGGGGTGACGCCTGCTCGGCTTCTTGCAGTCCCTGCTCCTCCTGGATGCCCCTGTTACTGGCCCTGGCCAACCGGCCTAGTCTTTAGGCGCTGTGACTCCTATGTTAATAATGGTGGCAATTGTTAATATTTTGGGACACTGGCTGTGTCCTCTCCGCCTGGACCATGCCACGCTGCCTCTGGAAAAGGCTCTGTTCTCATGAGATGTGGCTGCTTGCGGTCCCTTGAACTCACTGGGTTCTGGATGGCTTCTGAGCTCTGGACCTGCAGCCTCCCCTGGAAAGGGCTGCTGCTTCCCCTTTGCCTGGCTAAGGCCTGCTCATCAGCCCTTTCCTCAGGGAGCGAGCCTGACCCCCTAGGATGGGAGGGTTCCTGCTTCACATTTTCATTAACCCTGAACTTTCCTTTTTTTTTTTGAGACGGGGTCTCTCTTTGTCACCCAGGCTGGAGTGCAGTGGTGCGATCTTGGCTCACTGCAACCCTGCCTCCTGGATTCAAGCGATTCTCCTGCCTCAGCCTCCTGAGTAGCTGAGATTACAGGTGCCCACCACCACACCTGGTTAATTTTTTGTATTTTTAGTAGAGACGGTGTTTCTCCATGTTGGCCAGGCAGGTCTCGATCTCCTGACCTCAAGTGATCTGCTTCCTTTGACCTCCCAAAGTACTGGGATTACAGACGTGAGCCACCACGCCTGGCCTGCAGTGAGCCTTGATTGCACCACTGTACTCCAGCCTGGGTGTTGACAGAGGGAGACTTTGTCTCAAAAAAAAAAAAAAAAAGGAACTTACAGGTTTGCATCATCATAGCACAGAAAGTATGGTGGGATCGCAGGCACTTGCCACCATGCCTGGCTTATTTTTGTATTTGTAATTAGACATGGGGTTTTGCCATGTTGCCCAGACTGGTCTCAAACTCCTGACCTCTGGTGATCCACCCTCCTTGGTCACCCAAAGTGCTGAGATTACAGGCATGAGCCACTGGGCCCTGCCGAACTTTCATTTCTTATGACAGAGAGACAGCTGTGTGGGTGTGTGCTAACAGGGTGTCTCCCCTGTTATATCAGGGACTTGGAGGACAGGAACCTGTGTCTGGGTCATTGCTGTGTCCCTGGAGCCCAGCTCAGGTTCTGACCCATTGGGGTTGCCCAGGAATTAATTGCCGGATGAAGGAAGGGGTGAAAATCCTGTTTGTTCCTTTAGTCACCCTGCAAGAAAGGTATTGTGACCACCACTATTCTCATTTTACAGCTAAGGAAACTGAGGCTCAGAGAGGTGAATTTAGCTGCCCAAGGTCACACAGGGGCTAATGAGTCAGTTTAGACAAAGACCCTTCCTCCGTGCCTTCCACAGTGTCTGACCTCGGCAGTTTGGAAAATTCTTGTGGAATGGGACTGATCTGAATCCCTGAGTGCTGGGCTTGGCTCTGAAACGTTTAAGAGGGTCTCCACCAGGAGCCTTGAGAAAACTACACACATACAGATTTCCCCAAGGTCTCGGCTGGGCTCGGTGGCTCACGCCTGTAATCCCAGCACTTTGAGAGGTCGAAGTGGACGGATCACTTGAGGTCAGGAGTTCGAGATCAGCCTGGCCAACATGGTGAAACCCACCTCTACTAATAATACAAAAATTAGCCGGGTATGATGGCACACACCTGTAATCCCAACTACTCAGGAGGCTGAAGCAGAATTGCTTGAACCTGGGAGGTGGAGGTTGCAGTGAACCGAGATCGCGCCGCTGTACTCCAGCCTGGGCAACAGAGTCAGAGTAAGAGTGTGTTTGAATAAAAGAAAAAAACCCCAAAAACTAGTTCTGGAGCTCTGGGCAGGTGGCTTCGCCTCTGGAAGCCTCTGTTTCCTAATCTGGGTAGTGGAGATCATCAGAGTCCTTGCCTCATAGCGTCATTTGGTCATTCAATGAGATTAATGCAGGCAAAATGCTTAGCCTGGACCAGCACATAGCAAGCAGCTAATGATTGGCAGCTTTTTCTTCTCATTATTCCCGGAGGTCACAGGATGAAATGCATCGTCCTGCAATTTTACTTGAGAGTTTTGTTGTGGGGGAAGGGAGTTATTTACCCTACAGAGAGATGAAAATCAATGTATTTTACAACTTTACAGTAAAGAAACACTCACATATGATGAGGCAGAATGCAACTTTGTAGAAATATGTGAGCTAGAATGCAGGATTTGAACTAAACCTGGCCTTTGCTGGCTTTCTGGGAATCTGTCCCCACTCCTGGGGGGGTACCAGCCCTCTCCCCTCGGGGGCTTTGTGGAGGGCACCTTTGGGGAGTCCTTGGACCCTCTTGAGCGCAGGGCCCTGTTTCAGGGGCAAAGCACGTTCACCTACTTGTGAGCTAGTTGGAGTGAACATTCTTACCCCATTGTTCAGATGAGAACATTGAGGCTTGCAGTGGGAAAGTAAATCACGGAGATTCTGGCTTTATTTTGGTAAATCTGAAAGTGGAAAGTGTCAGAGCGCCCAGGAGAAAGATGGAGACGGGGCTTGGCTCTCCCAGGGGTCGCCATGAAGGGGCACTTTGGTGGGCAGGAGTTGGGTGCTCCCACTGGACTCTGCCCCAGCCTCATCCACCCCAGTGCCAGGCACACAGCAGGTGCTTAACAAGTGCTTGCCATGGCCTGGGGGCCTCGGTGGGCAGCCCCTCCTTGGGATGACATCTCCTCGCTAAAGCCTTCCTGAGCCCGGGCTCTGGAGTCTGTGAACCTGGCCTCCACCTCCGCTCCTCCACCCCTGACTGCGTGATCTTGGCCCAGCACCTTGCCTGTCTGTGAAACCTCCGTTTCTTTGAAGTGGGCTGGTGGGGACCCCTGGCTGTCAGCACAGGGCCTGGTGCAGCATGAGGGCTCAGCTGTCCCAGCCACCTGGGGCTCGGGGAGGATTCTGAGGGACTGAGAGGGAAGCAGGGCTTTGGTTTTGAATCTGAGCTGCCCTAAGCAGCCTCGTGCCTGGCCCCTCTTCCTGCGGTAGCGACAGCAGCTTCCCATTTTGGTGTCCACGCCAAGGCCTGGCCCTCTATTTATTCAAGCCCCACAACTCCTCATCAGCACAGCATCTCCAGGGCGCTCACCATGTGCTGGGCTCGGTGCTTGTGACCTGTATCCTCTCGCTGGTCCCTGACAGTGGGACAGGGAGCACGCTGCACCCAGGCCACACAGCGACTGGAGAGAAGGTAGACCCATCCGTACGAAGGCCCTGGGTCATCCCGGCTGGACTGTGTGTCCCAAGCCGAGAGCCTGGCTTTAGGGAGCCACAGGCAGGGCAGCCAGGCCCGGGTGCAGAGCAGCGAAGAGCAGCTCCCAGGAGCTGCGGCTGAAGCTCACCTGGCCCTGGCTAGAGTCTGCCCTCCGGGGCCAGGGACCCACCATGAACTTGCCATTCCTGAAGACAGGCCTTGTGGGCCGGATGATCCCCCGACAGGTGAAGCATCCCCAACTCGAGTGCGCAGGCTTCCTCCTGCCTCTCTTACCTGGAGGCTCTGGCCTGTCTTACGTGGAGGTGAGGCTGCCGTGGGGGTATAAGGAAGGGAGGTGGGGGCCGGTGGGGGGTGGTCAGAGCCTGGTCAGCTGTGTGGCCGTGGGCCTGGGACTCCCCTGATGAGCCCAGGTGCCTCATCCTGAGACAGACACAGTGACAACCCATGGCCTGTGTGAGGTTCTAATGAAATGCGGGTGCAGGGGAGACCACAGTAAGCACCCGATGGCGACAGTGGCCATCACAGTGGCTCACAGCTGCGCATGGCAGTCTGATGGCCCCGGCGGGTGGCCTGCTTGGAAGGGGCAGTGTGTGAGCAGAGCAGACAGGGCCCGCCCGCCTTTCCTGCCGGCTGCCGTGTGCCCCAGCCCGGTGCTGGACCAGTCCTGGCTGGCACTTGGCGAACCAGGGTGGAGACAGTGACCGCCAAGGAGGCTGGGTCACTACTCCCACAGTGGGAACACGTGGTGCGGGGCTGGAGCCCAGAGGGGAGGGCGGAAGGTCTGGGGAATGCGCAGCTTCTGGGTCAGGGCGAGGGGCTCCTGCAGTGGTTCTGCTTGGCCGGGAGTGCCCGGGAGCTCTGGAAAGCGGGCCAGGCCCCCCTTTCTGGGGCAGCTCAGGCCTGGTGCTGGGGCGTAGCTGCCCCTTAGCCGGGCAGTGGTGGCAAACAGGCGTGGGATGGGGGAGTGGTCTCTGCTCTCACCCTGGCAGGGGCATCAAATCCTAAGTACAGCAGCAGCGATGATCATGCTGACTGCCTCGTGCAGGCGGCTTCTGCACCTGCTGTCACGTTACTCTGAGCTTGCAGGCAGCACCAGCGAGCGCTCTGCTTTAGAGAAAAGGCTGCACCTTGTCCAAGGTCGAGGGTTAATGGGTCTGGGGCCCGGCCACATTGTCTGGCCCGGAGCCCGTGCCCACCTTCCTGTCCTCACTCCGGCCCTCTCCGGGGCTGCTCTTCCTGGGACACGGAGCCTGTTGTTCGTGGGACATGCATCACTCCGGCCCCTCGTTTACTTGTTGCCTGAAGGTCACTTTGTGGAGCGTGGGAGCTGGGGGGCCTGGAGGTCTCAGGAGCTGAGCTCTTTCCCGGGACAGAGAGGGAAGGGTGCGTGGCCAAGTTTACGCATTGTGTCAGGAGCAAAGGGGCTCCCTGCCCATCCCAGGAGCACCAGTGAATTTCCTTGGGGCCTTCAGGAACCACCCGGCGCTGCCATGTGACTCCAGGGTGGTGCTGTGACCCCCCGGGGCCAGTGCTGCAGGGGGTGGGGGAGTGATCTGGGACCTTGGGTGCTCGGGGCAAAATCGGGGCACCTGGGGGATTAGAGCATGCAGGTGGCTGCTCCCCAGCCCTCGAGAGTGGCAGGACGCCGGGTGGGAACCCCGGAGGTGTTTCACTCCCTTTTCTGCCCTCTCCACCTTCCAGTGTGTGGCACTCCATGGTTGGCACAGCCAGTAATGTCCCCTTTCACAGATGGGGAAACTGAGGGCCAAACTGGGGAAGGAACCGGTCACACAGCAGGAGAGTGGCAGATCCCCGGAGTTCAGGTCCCACTAGAGACCACCACTGCCTTTGCTATGAGGAACTGCTCCTCCCCAGGGGCGGGCCCGGCGTGAGGTCAGGAGGGTGCATTTGGCTAGTCAGAGGTGCATTCCCTCCGCTCGCTGACTTAGCTTTGCTGTTGCTGCCCGGGGAGGGCTTGGGGGAGAGCCCCCATCCTCTGAAGATGGTACTGAGGGGGTTTCTCAGGTGCTGTGGGGAGAACACAGCTGCAGGGCACTGTGAAGAGGAGCAGG